AGAGATAATGCCAGATTTCAGGAAGCCGACACAAACTGGCCTTGGAGGTCTCGGGCTGAGATCACTGGCTTACAAACCCTTTGGCTGGACTTTTAATTTTCCTACGCATCCTTGAACCACACATTTCCATGTTGCTCCTGAATGGCTCATGTTGGGTTCTGAGCTCCAGGACTAACATTCCCTGGCCTTTGGTAAATACAAAAGGGATTCCCATTGAGAGGGTCCCACTGTTTTAAGTTCCCCTGTAACGCAGAGTTCACCCGATGGAGGCTTTCTGCTGACGTGGATAGCTCAACAGTCTCAAACTAGTCTTCCTCTTTTCTCTTACCGCGACCACTAACTAAAACTGAGAGTTCAGGGAAAAGAAGTGAATTTGGGAAGCACAAAGACCATCAAACCTGAAATTAGGATGAGAATAATGACAGTTAACATTTGTAGAGCACTAGTCTGTGCCAGCGGCTGTTCTAAACACTCATATCCTTTAACTCATTCACGCCCCATGCACAGATGCACTTGGGATTCTCATCTTACAGGGGGAGGAACCAAGGGACTAAGAAGTAACTAGGCTCAAGGTCACACGGGGGTACTTTGCAGAACTGGGAAGTTAACTCAGCCTGACTTTAGAGTCACTGCTTTAAACTATCATGTTACCAAAGGAACAATGGGAACGATAACAAGGACACCCCATCTTTATGGGCCTCATCCGGTGTGCCCACAAGTCACTCCACTTAGTCCCCACGATGGCCCCATGAGGTAATCTCTCTTGCTGCGATGCCAGTCCTACAGATGGAGAAACTGAGGCACAGAGAAGTCAAGCGCCTCGTGGAAGTCGTGTTGGGGGTGGGGAACACGTCCAGACTGCCTGTGGCTCAGGTCCAGCGCTCTCAACCCCTCCACGGGACCAGCGAGCTCTGGGAACACACTCTCAAGGTGTTTTTTCCTATTCTTTTTAATCTTTGCGGTCATTTCTGTGAATAGCAGTGTTTCAGGGGGAGAAGCCAAAAAGAAACCAAAAAAACCAAACCCGTAAGAAACACATTTCAGCTGTAAAAACCCTCAGGTGAACTTAAAAAAAGAAAGTAAACAACCGTGCAAAGGCCAAATGAGTGCCGTGAACTCTTCTCTTTTACGTTGACTGCACGTTCGGTGGCGGGCCAGTGAAGTTATCCAAACAGACGAGGCTCTCAAATCTGGGATGGAGGGGCGCTGGCTCTGCGGAAGTTTCTGGAAGTTTCTGAGACTAGGTAAAAGACGTAGGGGGAGGCATCCCAGCTTATCGAATGTTTGCTCTATGACTGGACACCAGCCATTGTGCTGCCGTGACTCAGTTTACTCATCTGTAAACAACGGGGTGGTCCCTACCGAAGTTCTTTTCGCCTCTGCAAAATTATGATTTTAATTCTTACAAAGGAAAAAAGTCTCATTCCAGCTTCATAAATGTGGACCAGTTTCCCTCCAAGTCAGTGCTTTCGGGCCTAAAACTCCATCAGTCTCAACCTCCCTCTTCATTCTCTTCTTCACGTGAAAACGAAGTCCGACCTGTGTCTTCCATTCTGAAATGTGCGCAGAGCCGTCTGAGGGTTTATTTCTCCTCTGGAGCAACTCGAAAAAAAAAAAGTTAATAGGAAGCACATGGGCACGGTGTGTGAGCGCTCTGTGTGTTTGTGTTTGAAAAAAATCCTTCAGGACGACTATGTCAGGCTTGCAAAATGCCTGGGCTGTCTCAAGAGCAGTTTATGGCCATTAGCATTAGACTGACGGCAGTTAATTGGGACAAAGTCCAGCTGCTCCTTTCTGGCATCGGGGCCAGGAGGACAATAAGAAAATAACCTGGATTATTCCTGTGGTCGGGTGGGAAGCGAGCAGGAGACACGTCTCGATTTTGAGGGGCTGGTGGGGGCTGTGTCGGGGGTGGGGTCCAGGCCAGGACTCAGGCATGCAGAATCATCATCTAGATGGAGTGTGGAGCGTGGAGTGCGGAGGGGGTATAGTGTGGGGGGGGTACGTGCCTGGGCTCTGGAGTGCCACTGCCTGGCTTCAAATCCCACTGCTCCAGCCCTGTGACCTTGGGCAAGTTACTTTACCACTTTGTGCCTCAGTGTCTCCACCTGTACGAGGCGGTAATGCTGGAACCCACCTCACAGGCTATTTGGAGGGTTAGGGGAATGGTGTACGCAGAGTTGAGGAGTCCTGAGGAGTCCAGGAAATAGCACTTGAAGGACCAGCACAGGCTCTGGTATTCTAGAAACCCAAGTCTGAATCCCAGCTCTGAACACTACTGGCTCTGTGATCTTGGGCATGTCACCTTCTCTCTCTGAACCTCACTTTCCCCATCTGTAAAGCAGGCTTGACGGTACCACCTCATGTAGCTGCTGTAAGGACCAGAGAAGAAATAACATTCTTCCCCATGTCCTGGTCCAGGAGGGCTCCTGTTTCCCTTTTCCCGTCTCATCTCCTCTACTCGCTCCGCCCAGATTCATCAGTCTCCTTTGGAGTCCTTCTCCACCTCTGGGCCTTTGCTCTCGCTGTTCCCTCTGCTTGGGCTGACCTGTCCCCAGCTGCTCAGGTGGTTGGCTCCTTTTTCATGCCTTGGGTCTCCCTAAGCTGGGCAATGTCCGTTACCACTCCCCTCACCGTTGCCCATCACACCGCCCTGATTTTGTCCTTCACAAGCTTTATCAAAATCTGTAACCATCTATTTATTTGTTAACTGACTAATGTCCATCTCTCTCTATGGGGGAATTAATTGTCTTCGTTGACTGCTGTGACCCTAGAGCCCAAAAGGGTGCCAGGCATAGAACTGGTGCTCAATAAAACTCAAAGAACGAATGAATGGATGGGGAACCACTCCTACATAACTCAACTCACTTATTATGCAGGGAGAGGGGTGCCAGAATGGGGGAGGGGTGCCAGAATGGGGGAGGGGTGCCAGAATGGGGGAGGGTGGACTGTGTTTGCTGTTCACCCTCTGTAGTCTCAGAAGCTCTGAGGCAGTAAGTTCCGTTTCTACTGGCCGAGCTGGAAAAACCTGGTTTTAGACTGACCCAAAAGCAAGTTCAAGTTCAGGGTCTTCTAAGTCTTTATTATTGGGATCAGAATCATAATTCACTCCCCACTTGGAGATGGGTCCTGGCAGCTTATGTCCTTCAGTGGAACTCAGAAGGCCACTGTGGGGAGGCAGAGGTGACAGCAGAGGCAGAGGAGGCAGGAGAGTACCATGGCTAAGAGTGCGGGCTTTCGGTGGGGGGGGGTTGGGATTCTCCCAGACGCCCAGGAGACTCCACTCAGTCCCTTTGATTGCAGTCAAATCTAAATTCCTTGGCCTGATGTTGGGCAGATAAGTCATTCCCTTGATGCCTCAGTTTCCTCTTCTGTAAAATGGGAAGAAGACCAGCACCAATCCTTTGGAGCATCTTGAAGATGGTATAAGATCCAGCAACATCACGTGGCAGGCGGCGAAGATCTGGCCAATGTCAGCTGATGGTGTCACCAACAGACTCTGATGCAGATCTTTATTTGGAAGTTATTCCAAGGACTGGGCATTAATGCTCATCATCCCCTTTCTCTTGCATACCCTAAAGTCATTTTCCGTCCCTTCTCAATGATTTTTCCTGAAAGGCTGCCCTTGACATCCATTTTTATTGTTTCCTTAATTAAAAAGATGAAGTGACAATACTTGCAAATAGTTTTTTTTCCTGAGGATTTGCCCTGAGCTAACAGCTGTTGCCAATCGTCTTCTTTTCTTTGCTTGAGAAAGATTAGCCCTGAGCTAACCTCTGGGCCAATCTCCTTCTATTTTGGATGTGGGTCACCACCACACCATGGGTGACAAGTGGTGTAGGTCCACGCCTGAGATCTGAACCTGCGAACCCAGACCGCCGAAGTGGAGCACGCAGAACTTAAACCACTCAGCCACTGGGCCGGCCCCACAAATAGTTTTTTTTAAAGAAAAGAACAGTCACTCATTGGTCCTCCACCTTGTCATTAGCCCTTCATTTTTGCATTTTACTTTTCAGACCCCTGGTAGTCATTTTAACCAGCTTTCATAAAGGAATAAAATACCAGGATGAGGATTCCCCAAATGACTGCCACCGACCCTCTGTTCCATGCATCAGCCCCAACTTGCTCCCAGGGAGGCGCCAGAGAGGAGAAGGGGCTCTCGGAGGGTGAAAGAGTGGAGGTGGACACAGGAGAACCCAGCACACCGCCTCTTAGGGTTTGTGGAGTGGGAGTTACCCACTGGAGTTCCTTCTTCCTTTTCTAAGGCCACCCTCTGGGAACGCAGAGCCTTGAACCTGCTGCCCGGGATGACAGCCCCTTTACCCGCCTGCCCCATATTCCCCCAGCTGGCATTTCTCTGAGTCTCCAGTGGACCTGCCAATTCCATCACGCTTCACATCAAAGCCAGCTCCTGCCCACAGCCCTCAAGGCCCGGCGTGATTCAGCCCCACTCTCTCTCCAAGGCTCCCTCCTCCATCCCTGACTCTGCTCCAGCCTCGCTGGCCTTTGTTCTGTGCCTCAAACGCATCAAGACATTTCCCCTCCATACAGCTTTTGCACTGGCTCTTCCCTCTGCCTGGAATGCTCTTCCCCCAGGTCTCACATGGCTGACCCTTTGGGTCCAATGTCATCTCTTCCAAGAGTCTTCCCTGATGACTCAATCTAAAGTTACCATATCCCACTGCTCCTGATCCTGCAGCTGTTCACCAGGCTCTATCCAAACACCGTGTTTATCGGCTTCCTTGCACCCAAGCCCACCCCAAATTAGCCAGTTTATCTGTTGTCTTCTTGACTGTCAATCTCTCTCTCCTGCCGTGTAATTGCCACGAGGGTAGCTCTCACATCTATTCTGTCCACCGCTGTAACTCTGTTACTTGAGATAGATCCCGGCACATAGTAGGTGCTCAATAAATCAGCTGAATAAAGAAATGAATGACTGGGCACCCAACTCGGGAGGTGCCTTAGAGACCAGCAGGGAGGGGCCGCAGCGCCACACTGACCGTGCATCTGGTAGGTGTACGGGCTCTGTCCAGTGGGTGGGGTGCTGAAGCTGGAGCCATAGCTGAGGAATCCACTCTGGCCAGGGGAATGGTTCAAGCTGTCTTCTGTCTTGATGCCTTTGAAGGGGGAAAAAGAAGCACCAGGGACATAAGATTAGGATGCTTCCTGTCACCTGCAGAAGAGCAACCGAGTCAAGACAGCACACAATTTTATCAGCTTCCAAACCAGGAGTTGCAAACTGGTAGCTGGTGAGCTGAGATGAGCCTACAGACATATTTTGCTTGGCCTGCGTATTTTTAAGGAAAACCTGAATTAGCTCCTTTTGTTTAAAAAATCAGCAGATTTCACCCAAAAATCTGGACTTATAGCTCTCTTGAGCAACGAGATGGTCTAGTGGCATCATGCCTGTGTTCCCATGTGACGACAGCCTGCCCCCAGGAGCTCCCCAGTTGGTGTGTTTCCCATATCACCATGGATCCTTGCATTGAGGCTGGTTTTAAGGTGCTATTTTTCATTGCTTTTGTACTTTTTCTTTTTTACATTCTAAGACACTGTCAAAAGTGGCGAAGGGAAAGGCAGGCCAAGAGCATCTTGGATTTTGCACATGTGGTCATTTCATGCTTCCTGCCTGCCCCTGAGGGCAGTGAGTTACAACCCCCTACACCATGGAGTGAAGCCATGTATGGTTTAAACAGCCATCAGGATTTCGGGCGAAGGTGTTAAAGGAAGCATCCTTCCTCTGCAGAGAAAATGCCACTTAACCCTAAGGCACACTCTCCACCCTTCTCGTGGGGGGGCCTGCTTATCTGACACGCTTCCCGAAACCACAGGCACTGATTCCACGAGCAACTGGCTGGGGAAGGGAGGGGCGCTACCAGCAGTAGCCCACACGTTGTATTTTTATTGAAAATGTAATAAATGCACTGTAGAAAATTCCAATAGTACCAAAGGCATAGAGAAAAGTATCTCTTCTATCCTTGACCCCAAACCTCCAGCTCCCCTTCCACAGGCGACCACTGTTGCCAGTTTCTTGTATCTACCTCCAGACATGTTCTGTGCAAATACAAACTTATGCATGTATGTGCAATATACATATATATATTTTCCTCTTTTTTAAAAATAAACTGGAGCGGTCTATACCATTATACATTTTCCTCTTTTTTCTTTTGTTACTTGACAATACGTGATAATGATCATTCTCCACCAGCTTATAAAGTTCTCTCTTATTCTGTATTTATGGCTGTGCAGTATTCCACTGTGTGGCTGCCTCATCATTTAACCCCTTGTGTACACGTACATCTTTCTGTTAATCCCGGTATTTGGAATTGCTGAGTCCAAGGGCAAGAGCATCTTAAATTTTTATGGATGCTGCTAAATGGTGCTCCCCGGAGGGGAGACGGACATCCTCTCCACATGATAAGCGGGTGTCTGCTTCCCTTTTGCATCAAATGCATTATCAAACTTTGCTTATCTTTCTCTGTCTTATAGCTGTAAAGAGTATCTCAATGCTGTTTAACTCTGCATTTCCTTAAAGAACATTTCTAGTTCCGGGGATGGTTTTGCAATTGTGGTTTCCCTCCTTCTCACTCATTCATCCCCATAAATGAGGCGAATGCTTAGTGGGGTAAAAATGATGGAGTTTGGGTCTGGAGGCCTGTGCTGGAGTCCTGGACGGTTCGCTTCGTTACTTGGTGACCTGGGCAGTTTCTCCTCCAACCCCAGCTTGGGAGTCTCCTCCCTTGTGAGATAAGATGCTGATCCCACCAGAAGGTTGTCAGGAGGTTAAAGGAAGGGGAGAGGATGAACATATAGGGCTCTGACTGGGGTACTTAGAAGCACACATCTCTTTCATCCTCACAACCATCCCACAAAACAAGCAATACTGTTCGCTCCCTTTTAAAGATGTGGAAACTGAGGTTCAGAAAGCCAGGCCACTCAACTGGGGTCTCGCAATTAGCTGATAACTCTGAAGTCAAGGTTTTCCTCTCCTTCTCTTGATGCCTCTTACCAACGGGTGTGAAAGGACTTTATGCAGTAGACGGTGCAAGACTTCAGTAACAACAATGATGAGAGCAACAAGCACCTTCTTTTGCTCAGTCTGCTAGGAGCGGGTAATGGTTTACTTGGTGCAGGCTGCCTCCTGGTGCACCTGGAGTAAAATCTAAACTCTCTGGGTGACCAGGTCCTACAGGGGCTTGGCTCATGCCTCCGACCCCTGCCTTCTTCAGCTCCTTCGCTCACCCTTCTCGAGCTGTGCATTCTGCCACTCTCATTCATTTTAGTGGCTGAATGGAAATCCAAGTGAGGACCATCACTGCCTATGCAGCCAGTCCCCTGACAATGAACTCTAGGGTGCTTCCAAGGTTTCTGCTATCACAGCCCAGGATGGAATGGATGTGCCTCCTCACGCAATGTTAGAATGTTTGTCTAGGTTGGTTATAAGAAGCGGAATTGCTGACTCAAAGGTACATAAATTTTTCATTTTAAATAGATGCAGACAAAACTGCAAGGATGTCTTTAGACACGGGGCCTTTGCACATGCTCTTCTCTCTGCCCTGGAACGCACTACATCCCATCCCCGTCTTTACCAGGCTGATGCCTTCTCATCCTCAATTTCTCAGCTTAAATGTTGTTTCCCCAGCAAGGCCTTTCATGGCCTAAGTCAGGCCCTGTCCCCTGAGCCCCTCCACAGCACCCCACTCTTCAGGGAACTCATGACAGTTCATCTGTTTGCCGCCTGCTCCCTCCTTAGGCTGAGAGCTCCTGGACGGCAGGGCCAGGCCTGTCTTGTCCTCTGTGCTATTCCACACCTGCCTCACTGCTGGGCACACAGTAGGCGCTCAATAAATGTCTGCCCAATGAACAAATATGGAAGAAAACAAAATAAAGGTTTTCACATCTCCTTTTGTTTGCTAAGTGGTTGGATCGCAAAATTCTAACTTATGAGGAAAGGAAGAGACTCTGGCAAGCACGTGAAAGGCTTTAGTCCTGTAAATCAGGGCGGCCCAACTGTGTCCAGGGACCAGTCACCAGCTTACCATGAGAAAGTACAGAAACATCTAGAAACTTTCGTAGCAACTTGACATCGTGTGACATCTAAGGTCATATCTCTGGGCTTCTATTTTGTATCACTGTTTTGTTATTTTAATTTCATTTTTCTAGTAATTCATTTTTATTGCATTTTACCAAAGTATCAGTCCACAAAGAACTGGAAATTAAAAAGCAAAAAACAACTACCGGGCTTTTACCCCAGATGAGTAGCACTGCTCCAAGAGACTAAGTTCAAAGGAAATCCGGTGAAGGTCCGGTTTGGGGACAGTCTGACCACATCAGATCTCTTGCTCCCCAAGTGTTTCTCATGAATATCTTTGTGGCAAAGAGAAGGAGGCCTCCATAAGATGCTCAGGAACCACCTACAGATTTTGCTGTCTTTAGCTCTTGGAAGCACGATAGTGAGTGCGTGCATTTCAGAAAGCATGTCAACAACAGTGATGCACGGGGCATTCATTCATTCCACAAACATGCAAAATAAGTCTACATCAGGGGTGGCAAACTGTGGCCCATGGGCCAAATGTGACGTGCTGCCTGTTTTCCTAAATAAGGTTTTCCTGAAACACAGACACACCCACTCATTTACGTATCTTCCGTGGCTGCTTTCGAGCTACAACAGTAGCTTGAGTAGTTGTGATAGGGAATGTATGACCGCAAAGCCAAGGGTATTTAATATCAGGCACTTCACAGAAAAGTTTACTGATCCCTATTCCACATAACGAGATGCAGAAGCATGATAAACAGCAAATCCATGGGTGTGGGCGTCTCTGAGATGAAAGGGAGGCAGACCTCCCTCTATTTTTTATTTTTTAAGTTGGATGGTCAGTTTGTGGCTGTTGGTAATATTACTCTTTATGCTTTTACCTATGTATTAAACGTTGTATAATAAATTGAGGGAAAAAATACTCAGTACTCCCAACCTCCTTGTCTCTAGTTTGCTCAATTGTGTTATTTCCCTGAAGCTATTTAAACAAAGGTAATACTACTATTTGCCAAGGAGCAATGAGAAACACTTCCTAACAAGATTCAACAAGGTTTGTCCAGACAGTGAGCAAACACTGCTTGCTCGGGCACAGGCATATGGGAGGGAAACGGCTTTTCATGCCACCTGTCATTCTGCAGTGGCATGGACCTCCCGTGTGTGTGTGGCAGCCTGGCTTCTACTGCATCGATGGAGCGTTTCCCATGGGCCAGGCCCTGCGAGCTAAGCCCTTCATATAGATCAAGGGTACGGGTCCATGGGCCAAATGCGGCCCACTGCCTATTTGTGTCGATAAAGTTTTATTGGAACACAGACACATCCATTCGTTTACATAGTGTCGGCTGCTTTCACGCTACAGTGGCAGAGTCGGGGAGTCGCAACAATGACAGTCTGCCCCACAAAGCTGAAAATATTTGCTAGCTGGCCCTTTACAGAAAAAGGCAGCTGACCTCTGATGGAGATGACCTCATTTAATCCTCACAACAGCTGTGAGGAGGCCAGACTCAGCATCACTCCCACTGCACCAACGAGGAAACAGAGGTGGCTTGCCTGGGGTCTTGGGACCAGCAAGAGGCAGAGGTACAGTGTGAACCGAGGACGTGCCCTCTCACCTCCTACGCTGTGGGTCAGGGAACAGACTGACAGTAACTAAGACGGTAAAATGACTTTGAACCAAATTAATTTCCACCTGACACTGTGTTTTGTCTGGGAACAGGGTTAGTTTTCTTGCTTTTGCTGAAAAATACAACGGCTTCCTTCTTCTGGGCTGTCAGCCAGGCAGGGTAACTTCCATGTGCTTGTGTCACAGGTCTTCCAGCACAGGAGGGACAGAAAGATAGAAAAGATGCTCACACCTGTTGGCGAAGCTGAGTCACAGGGAATCCCCTGGGATTTACAGAACGCACGCCAGGGCCGGGGAGCTCAGTGGTTAAGGGCTTGGACTCCAGAGCCAGGCTGCCAGGGTTTAATTCCACCTCTGCAGCTGACCGGCTGGGTGACCTTGGGCAAGTTATTTATCCTCTCTGAGCCTCCATTTATTTATCCCTCAAAGGAAGATAATGATAAGAACTTCCTTGTAGGCTTGAGGGGCATTAAAACAACTCCTGGATGTGGAGCACTGAGAGTCGTGGGCGGCGGCAACTTAACAACCGTGACTACAACCAATGCCTCCTCTGATGCCCCACCGGACTCGTCACTGCCACCTCTAGAATTGCTCTTGAATGTCCACTGCCCTGCCCCAGGCCTCCACCAGGGCCTACCCCAGGCCTTATCAGCCTCCCAGCTGGCCTTCCTGTTTCTCCTCTGCTTCCCTCCAACTCAACCTCCCCACAGCAGCCAAGGTGATCCTTAAAAACCCAGATTGCGAGGCCGGCCTGGTGGCACAGTAGTTAAGTTTGCACGTTCCGCTTTGGCAGCCCGGGGTTCACCAGTTTGGATCCCGGGTGTGGACATGGCACCACTTATCAAGCCAGGCTGTGGTAGGCGTCCCACATATAAAGTAGAGGAAAGTGAGCATGGATGTTAGCTCAGGGCCAGTCTTCCTCAGCAAAAAGAGGAGGATCGGCAGCAGATGTTAGCTCAGGGCTAATCTTCCTCAAAAAAAAAAAAAAAAAAGAAAGGAAAAAACCCATATTGTCTCACATAGCCCTCTGCTTGTAACCTGCGGATGAGTTCCTGTTTCACTTGGAATAAAATCCTGAATCCTTCCCAGGCCTCTAAGGCTCCACCCACCTCTTCCACCTCATCCCCCACTGTGTCCAGCCACTGGGCTCCCAGGCCTTGCCAAGTGCCTTCCCGGGCCTTCCGGCGGGCGGTCCCCTCCCCCGGATGCTCTCCCTCCTGAGCTTGCACAAAGTCCTCTCTCAGTTCTCAGCTGGGTCAGCACCTCCTCTAAAAGGCCTTCCCTGCTGGAACCTAATTTAGGAATTAATTAGAATTCAATTAATTGGAACTCATTTGATTCTTCCTTGCTCTGTTCTCTCCCATGACCTCCTCCTCTTCCTTTATATCATGCGTGATCATTTGAAATAACATAAAATTTTAAAGAATTAAAAAATTTCTTTGCCCCTCTAGGCCAGAGGTTGAAGACTCAAATGTCTTCAGGGGACAGACAGATAATTCAAACAAGTGATGTGGGCCAGGTGGGGACCATGGCGAACTGAGGCTAATGGGGACAGCCCTACTCAGAGCCACTTACTCCTGACACAGAAAATATGGGCCCAGTGCTGCCTGATCTTTTTCTTTTCTGGTGAGGAAGACTGGCCCTGAGCTAACACTGGTTGCCAATCTTTCTCTATTTTGGATGTGGGATGCCCCCTCAGCATGGCTTGATGAGCTGTGTGTAGGTCCGTGCCGGAGATCCAGACCCGTGAACCCTGGGCCACCGAAGTGGAGCTCACAGCCTTAAATGCTGTGCCACCGGGCCAGCCCCATGGATCATTTGTTTTTTTTTAAGATATTAGAAATATGAATTCTTATGTAAACATTTCTCATTTTAAAATTGTTCATTAATTTAAAAAATGTCAAGTATATTTTCCTGGTTAAAAAACAAGCCAAAGGCCACATTACCCATCAGCCTTCACTTGGCAGCCTCCGATCTAGACAGGAAGCTCCACAAACACAGGGCCCGCCCTGCTCGTGGACCACTGAATGCCCAGCAAGGGCCCCAATACTGAACGAATGAACCAGCGAGAGAACGAGGCAGAGGTAGAGAGAGAGAAAAGAAGGCAAAGTTCAGTCCCTGCACGCCAGCCACGTCATCCGGTTGGGAAGACGAGAAGGGCGTATTATCTTTATGGTTGACGAAACTGAGGCCTGGAGGAGGCAGGGGCACTGGGTCTGGGAGGTGAGTCTCCCGCCCCTCACCCCATGGTCTCTCCCCGGATGCCGTGGATGTGGCTGGATTGGAAAGCCGTCTGCTTGGCCATCCGTGGTTTCCACCTGCCCCTCGTCCTACTCCTGACATACACTTTCTCATATTCAGATCTGTTCTCCCGAGTGAGCCTGACCTGGCCCCTGGTTCCATGGGTGGACATGTGGCCAAATGTGGCCGATCAGAGCATTCCATCTTCTCTGCCCCAGCGTCTGGGTCAGGGATGGCCATGGGAGTCCAGCGAGAGAGATCTCTTCAGCACCACAGTGGGAAAGCCTGCCTGAGATTAAAGCCCATGCAAATGGAGCAGAGACTAATTCCTGATATTATTGCTTGAGTAGCTGGATCCAACACTGCCTGAAGCCAGTCCTCTAAGATTTTTCAGCTCAGTTTGCAATAAACTCCTCTATTTCCTTAATCTAATTACCACTAGATTTTTGTCATAGGCTACCAAAAGAGCTTCGGTTGACACACAAATTAAGAAGGGAGGAAATAGCATGAATAAAAACCACAGGCAGTGTGATGACTAATTTTCTGTGTCAACTTGACTAGACTGGACGGGGCCAAGAGGTGTCCAGACTGTGGTCAAACATTATTCTGGGTGTGTCTGTGAGGGTGTTTCTGGATGAGATTAACATTTGAATCTGTAAACTGAGTTATGTAGAGTTCTCTCCCCAATGTGGTGGGCCTCATCCAACCAGTTGAAGGCCCAAATAGAATCAAAAGGCTGAGGAAGAGGGAGCCCTTCTGCCCGAGTGCTTGAGCTGCGACATTGATCTTCTCCTGCCTTCAGACTCGAACTGAAAAGTCAGCTCTTCTTGGATCTTGGCCTGCTGACTTTTGGACCAGATGCGACACCATCAGCCCTGCCGGTTCCCAGGCCTCTGGGCTCAGACTGGAGAGCTGGTCTCCAGACTGCCAACTGCAGACCTTGGGACTTCTCAGCCTCCACAGTCGGGCGGGCCGATTCCTACGAGAAATCTCTCTCTCTAGACACACATCTCTAGCTCCACCCCGCCGGTTCTGTTTCTCTGGAGAACCCTGACTAACACAGAGGGACAGGCGAGCAGTGCGTGGCGAGCCTGGCTCACCGAGTCTCCAGCTCTCAGCAGGAAGGTTCTGAGAGTCCAGGTCTGTGGGTCTGTGGTTTTGCCTTCCCAGCACCCATTTCTCCTTCTTCTGATACCACCCCTGTGTTTTCCTTTGAGAGAGCCATCCATCCCTCATGTGCAATCCATACGCTTCAACCTCCTTATGGCCCTCACCCTCACTCCTTGTCTTGTTCTAAGCATTGTCATGCGGCCAATTTGGGCCAATGGGGGTCAATATGAGATTCTGGTGGAACTGCTGGGAGTGCTGAGCTGAAAGGATGAAAACCCAGAGTTGATAGGCACCATCTTTGCTGCCATGTGGGAAGAACCTGTGCAAGAGTAAACCCAACTCAGAGGAAAACATCTGAAGATGGAGGGAGACATCTTCCTCCTGATGTCATGTGAGCACCTGGATCCAGCCATACCTGATGTCAGCTGTACCTTTACATTTTCCAGTATGTGAATCATTAAATTTCCATTTTCCCTAAGCCAGCTTGGGCTAACTTTCTTCTTCTTGAAATTAAAAGAGGCCTTCATATAGTCTGCAGAACTTGAACTATATTTAAGGCGTCTATCCTTCTCCTCTATCTCTAATCCAAAATTAGGCTGGCTGCATTTAACTAAGGCCACAGGGCAAAGGAAAGACCATGATGTTGGGAACCCCGGGGGGAAAGCAGGGCTTGCTTTGGTACTCACTGTAGGAAGGGAGTCCATAGGCTTGTGCTGGAGGCGGGTAAGCCGTGTAGGGGCCGGCCTGCTGGATGCCCGCGCTGTACTGTGTCTGGCCGTAGGCTGCCATGGCGGAGGGAGGCTGGCTGGGTAGGATACGTGCGCAGGGTCTGCATGGAAGGAGAGAAGATTAAATCTCCAGGCCCAGCCTAGCATCCCTTCCTCCTGATTTTGGTCTCAACAGCACCATTTTGCTTTGGGTATTGACTCTTTCCAGGGCAGAGACAAGTGTGGTGTTCATCAAATCCCACTTCATTTCCCCTCTTCCTGGACACCAGGAAGAGACATTTCCTGTCTCGCTTGCAGTCAGATTAGACCATGTGGCTGGGTTCTGCCCAAGAGAAGGTATAAGCCGCTCCCAGGTCTGGCCAATAAAACCAACTTCTGTGACGCCTCCTGCCCTCTCTCCTCTTCAGGCAGCGATTGTGGAGGGAACAGGCGGAGAAGGCAGAGCCAAAATACGGACACATGCTGGATGCTCGAGTCAGCGTGTGGAGGAGAGATCTCATCAGACCCACACTGAAACAAACCTTTGTTATTTGCGGTGTTTAGTCATGAGGTCAGCGTTTATTGATTACCGCAGCAGAGCCTGTCCCACCCGGCCATTGTCCTAATTTAGACACCTTCCAATTGACTGTAGTTTGGCAGCGCTGTCAATCAAGATGCCCTGCTCTTGGCCAAGGGGTGGGTGCATGATGCAAGACCATCCAATCAGACTCTGCCCTGGGAATTTAAATCTTGGGCTGAATAATTCATTCCAACAGCCACACCAAAAGAGGAGCTGTCTTTTAGTTCCTTCCTATTGCTTGGATCCCAGAAGCTGTCCTTGGTCTTTCTTTTTTTTTTCTTCTAAAGATTGGCCCTGAACTACCATCTGTTGCCAATCTTTTTTTTTTCTTTTTCTTACCCCAGACCCTCAGTACATAGTTGTATACTTTAGTTGTGGGTCCCTCTACTTGTGGCGTGTGGGATGCTGCCTCAGCGTGGCCTGCTGAGGGGTGCTAGGTCCGCCCCCAGGATCCGAACCAGTGAAGCCCTGGGCCACCGAAGCAGAGTGCGCAAACTTAACCACTTGGCCACGGGGCCAGCCCCTCCTTGGTCTTGCCTGAAGCCTGATTATTCCACTTTGACTTACATTTTGAGCTACTCCAAACCTTCCCCAAAAAGTCCTGGTGGTCTTACACCAGCCAGAGTCGATTTCTGCCACTTACAACTAAAGAACTCAACTGGATTCTGCCCTCCGTGGTGAGTAACAGGCTCCACGGGGCTGGGACGGGAAGGGCCGCTGACCTGAGACACCTGCAACGTGACGACTGCCACCCTTCACTGCGCTCTTATCACCAGCTGGGAACTGTGATACTCAGGCCCCACGGGAGCAGGAAATCTCCTGAGACGCTCATCTCGACGCTCTGGGTGGGGGCTCTTGGCTCTCATTTAGGGAAGAAACCTGAAGCCACAGCTAGAAAGAGTGGGAAATCTCGACCTTGACCTCAGGACCCTACTCCAGAGCCAGCACCTGTAACAAGACTGCCACGGACCCGGCCCTGCCAGCAGCAGGAAAGAAAGTCAAGGTGGGCTCTTCCAATAGGAAGAGAGCAAGATGGCGGCCCAGGGGCCACACGAGGTCCAGGGGTCCAGGAATAGAATTTCTTTGGCTGGAACAGTTATTTATTTATTTTTATTTGAATTCCTTGCCAATGTTTTAAAACCAGGAGGTCGCCCTCTCTCTCTCCCTCTCACTCTCTCTCTCTCTCACATACACACACACAAACACACACATGCTCTTTATTTCCCCCTTCTCTTGCAAAGCAGACGCTTTGGCAAGCCTGGGTCTGTCCTGTCCTGTGTCGCGCCATCAGCTGGGTGTGAGGAGCGGCCACCTCTTGAGACTATCACCCTCTGTCTGCAACAGTGTCCACGGCCCACTTCACTTTGTGATGAAAACAGCTAACAACTCATGCCTACTATGTGCCAGGCACGGTCCTAATTACTCTATGGTGATCAGCTCGTTGAAACCTCATAACAAGCACGACAATCCTTGGGGGGAGGGACCATTCCTATCCCCATTTTATAGATGAGAAAACAGGCGGAGAGAGACTGAGAGACACACTGAAAGCACACAGCTGGTGCAGACTTTGAACGCTGGCTGCAGAGGCCATGCCCGCTGGCCCCGTAGATCACATACCTGGACGCTAGCGCCACGTGCACCCGCCATCCTCTGTCTAAGCATTCTAACTATCATGTTTCCCAGCAAACGCTCATGAGACCCCCAAACCCGCGTCTGATCCCATTCTGGGTACGTCACTCAGTGAAGACCTGTTCGTTTCCAGAGTTCCTCCGACATCTGAGGCCTCACGGCAGGTGTGAGACTGATACAAAAGTTTAAGTAGTTATAAAAAGATGTTCTCATGCGCTCTTTCGTTTGGACTACTACATGATCAAGGGTTAGGAACTTGTTCCAAAATGCATGACAACTCATTTGGGCTGGAGACGCCAGAACCACTCCTGGAAGGCGTTTGATAGTCATTATTCCCACTCTGTGAGGCGCCTGGACACGCACGCAGTGCGTCAGGACTTTGTGCTGAGCGGAGACCCTTATCTGAGAACGTTCCCGATGTACACCTGTCCTTAGGAGCAGAAGGTGGGAATCTGAGATGACCAAGTCCTGCTTCCTAGCAAAACCTACTTACCCTCCTCGGAGTAAATGGGGCTAAAATGAAAACCCAGAGGAAGGACAGAGCAGCTCTCTAACCCGAGGCCGTGAAGAGAAGTCGGCAGACTGAACAGACCTCAGTTTATATTAACAACCCCCAAAATATCTGGAGGGAAAGGAAGGTGGAGAAAGCGTGTTCCTCGTAAACAGCTGCTCCAGGGCCGTCACGGGTGGAGCGTGTCCAGATAGGGAGGAGCTGACCATCCAGACAGGGTGCGCTGACCGTCCAGCCAGACCAAACCCAGGGCTTCTCAGGTGCAGAGTGGCAGCTCCCCGAGGGCAGGCATGGGGGGACCCCGGGTAAGCCGTGCCCGTCCCCGAGCTCCCTCTGCCCCTGCGCACACTGAGGTGGGGCATTTATGCCACCCACTGTGTTGAGATCTCTGATTGGTCTGTCTGTCTGTCTGTCTCCCCCACTAGACTGGAAGCTCTCCGAGGGCAGGGTCTCTGTCTCACTCATCTCTGAGTCTCCAGGACTCGGCAGGGGACTTGGCATGAGGAGTGTTGGGTGAATGTTGGAGCAGGCAGAAAGCATAGAAGGAGGGAGGTAGAGAGAGAAGAATAAGGGGGGGTGGGGTGGAGGGAAGGGGAGGGAGAAAAAGTGGGAGAGGAAAGGAAGGAGGAAAAAAAGGGAAACAGGGAAGGAGGGAGGGAGGAATTGAGAAAGAGTCTAATCATAGGAAAGAAGAGAAGGAAAGAATGAAAAAAGGAAGAAAGCCACAGCCAACACTGTCAGAACGCTCTGTTCCAGGCACCTTCTAAGCGCTTTTTACATGTTTTAGCTCATTTCATAGGCAGACATCATGATTGTCCCCTTTGTCCAGATGGGGAGACTGAGCCCAGGGGGGTGGAGTCAGTTGCTCCAGGTCGCTCAGCCAGCGAGTGCTGGCACTCAGACTCCAGTCCAGGGAGTCTGGCTCCAGAGCCTCTGCCCTCGAGAAAGAGAAAGAGAAAGAGGGAGCCAAGGAGAAACCAGAGGTACTCACCTCGCGAGGAGCTGGGACACGCTCGGAGGGGCCGGAGGGGCTGATGCCGTGATGCCTGGGGGGAAAGGAAAATTGGAAGGGCTTTAGTTGTCAGAGCGACGCTCCACAGAAGCTGTGACTTTAGACGGCAGCTTAAGCGGGAAGAAATCGAGAGCTGCTGCCAGGGACTTTCTCAACCACAAAAGCTCATCCGAGAAGCAACATGCGAGCGTTCTCCTCCTTGAAAACCCCTTCCGGGTGCGCCTTGTCTCCAGGTACTAATGGAAGGTACATGGGAAGAATCTATAGCATCTTGAAACGTCAGAGGGGAATTCACACCCCACCCATTGTACAGATGGAGAAACTGAGGCCAAAGGGACAGAAAGAACGTGCTTGAGCCAGCTCACGTGACTAGACAGCAGCACTACTGGGACCTGAACCGGGTTTCTTGATTCCCAAGCTGGAGCCATTTCCACTCCAGGATGGAGAACCAGTCCCTCCCCTGCCTCACAGGCAACCCCAAGAACCCCAGAATGGCCGGCTGCCGTTGGCTTTGATTATCCAACATCCATTTCCCTTCTTCCAACGACATCACCTTGATGTTCCTCCCCTCTCTCCCAAATTCAGCCAGGGGGTTCGGGGGGGCTGGCCCCAGCACTCAGGGAAAGGTAGACCATGGATCAGGGAGACGGGAGCGGCCCAAGCTCCTGATGAGGCTGTGTCCCTGTGCACACTGTATTCCTGGGCACCCAGCATCCAGCCATCGGCAGGAGACAATAATGCAGGAAGTGACGGAAAGGCGGTGGAATTCAGATGGAGGGACGTTTGCGAGAGGATAATTCCACAGATGGACAGTTCCCTGGGGAGCGTTTGGTGCGCTGTCATTTTTAACAACAGAACTCAAGGGCCTCACTGTGGAACCCTGGCAAATGCTAGACAACGTGTGTACTGATTGCCAGTTCACGCTCCCTGGTATGGAGGGCAGAGGCTGGTGTCCTTGTGCCTCCCGAGAAATGCCCCCAGGTCCCTGGAGCTCTGAGCCTCTCTCAGCCCCTGAGCTGGAGGCTCAGCGGGCCAAATGTAATTCCAGCTCCTACCCTGCAGCAATGACACTCCGGGCAGGCTGCCTGAAATCGCTGGGCCTCAGAGGTCCCCCCTGTGAAATGGGGAAAATATTCATCTCCCAAGGACGAGTGAGGATTCAACGAGAAGATGATGACGACGCCCATCGTTTACCCAGCACTTGCTACGTGCCAAGCTCTCCTCTAAATCCGTTACCTGCATTAATTATTTTAATCCTCATCATCGCCCCATGAGGAGGGTTCTATTCACACCCCCACGTTATCGATGAAGAACTGGAGGCCCAGAGAGTTCAAGTAATTCACCCAAGGCCACACAGATCATAAGGGATGGAGCTGTGATCTGAACCCAGGTGTTCTGGCTCCAGAGTTTGTCTTCTCCACCGCAACACTGCAGCCCACGATGACAGCCATCACCATCATAGCAACCAGCATCCACTTAGAAGTGCACTACGGGCCAGGCACCGTGTTAACTGCTCATATGCATGATCTCATTCAGTGCTCATGACAATACCAGGAGGCAGGCAATGTCATTATCCCCATTTTACAGATGAAAAAACTGAGGAAGGCTAAGTGCATTGCTCAAGCCACACAGCGTGTGGGCACGGCAACTGGGACTTGAACCCAAATACTTCTGAGTCCCAAGTCCACTCCCCGGCTGGGTCAAATTCTGTTTGAGTCCCAAACCACTGGGGTGGGGGTGGGAGACCTGAAGTCCATTTAGAGAGCTGCAACTAGACTAAAAAAGAAAACAGAATAGACAATATCACCAAATACTGCCCATAGGAAGAAGCAATTGCGTGAGACTTTTGTTCCAGTTATAGATACGAGAATGTGATGGGTGTGTGTTGTGTGTGTGTGTGCTGCATGACGGTGTAAAAATATATATTTCTTACTATGTGTCGTATTAAAAATAAGTTGGAACGGCAGTGGTCTAACACCATGGAAAGCCCCGGCACACAGCGGGTGCTCACTCAAGGCTAAGGCCCCTACTCTGGGTGTGCTGCCCCAGGCCGGGCCTCCCGTATCCCCTTCTCCACTCTCCTCCAGGACCAGAGAATGAACTGTCATTCCAAAGCAGCCAGTCTCATTATCGATCAAAGTCCACCATTTGAGTGTGTTTAGTAATACATAAGTTACTGAATTAAACATTTTGAATATGTTTTCTTTAATAAATATGTAAATATTCATAAAAATCTAAATCTACGGAAACATTCCTATGGGCTCGGATTAACTCGGCATCCTTACACGTTTGAAGCCATTTCTCCCCCACCACAGCCTCCATGCCACAATTTGCATGTGTGCTCACTCCGGCTTCCTCAGTTCCTCGGCATCGTGGAGCAGCATGCCTTCCCACACGGGCAGGTCTCCCTCTCCTGCGGTGCAGACCCAGAACAGTCTCCCTTTCCCACCCCAGCGGCCCCCGGGAGGACTGTGCAGGCGAGAAACAGGCATTCCGTCAAGGAGCATTTCCTTTTGCAGATTGCGTGACTTTTGAAAAACACAGGCTTTTTATCTATTAAAAAAAAAACTGGTGTCGCATTTAATGTTTTCATCCTAGGAGACTTGGGGGAATTGAGAACCTACAAAATGGGTGCATTATTCCCATTATCCTCTTCCCTCCTCTCTCCCTCCCTTCCTTCTTCCTTTTCTCCCCGGTGAGGATGCTGCAGACCTCAGTGAGAATCCTGATGGAATGTGACGAGGCAGCGCTCTCCAAGCTCCTCCCCTTCTTCAGGGGTCTGGGGTGGGACGGTGTCAGGATGGAGATGCTCAGTGCTCTGGGGCAGAGGCTCCCCAGGGGCAGAGAGCCTCTCTCTCCCTCTGCTGCTCTTGCTGTGGTCCAGGGCTGTTAGTCCTCAGAGGTCATGAGGACCAGGAGGCCAACCTGCAGCTGTATCCGCACATGACCTGCACACCAGGAAGTAGGCCTGACAGAGTGGCCGTGGAGGCAACGCCAGCCCCCCTGTGAAAGGTGGAGGGGTGGGCATCACTGTCCGAGGGGCAGGCAACAACGCAGTCCTCAGTGCAGCCCAGGATGTCTTTCAGTGAGCCCTCTGGATGCCCACTTCACCACTTCCGGAAGCCACTGTGTTTGACACTTTCTCCAGATGGCAGGTCAGAGCCAGACAGACACACTGAGGGTGGAGACATGGGAGGCCAGGCCAGTGAGCTTCCCGTGCAGCTCAGGAATGATCTTGCCTATAGGCTTTCCAGCGCCATGGGAGGCAGGCAGATGCTCTGGACAGCAGCATGGCCATCGTACCACAGCCTGCCAGAGCGGTAGAGAGGGTGTGGACTGTGGTCATGAGTCCCTCCATGATGCCAAAGTGTCACAGACCCTGGCAGCAGTGGTGGGTGGGGTGGGGGGAGGCGAGCATGCTGGCAACCTAGGGTGTGGTCATACTTCTCATGGTCACCCCATCACAAACACGGCGCCATCAGCACAAGGGGCAAATGACCCTTTCTCTCCATTCTCCCAGGGAGCTGCAAGCATCTTCAGGGTGGGGAGGACACCACGTTCAGCAGCAGTATCGCCCTCCCCCACCATATTGGTGGGATCTGGTGCCTGGCAGATGGAGATGGACTTCCCATTGACCACAGCTTCCTGTTGTCAACCTCATCAGTGCCATTGAACTTGCCATGACGGACGAGGTTGAGGTCGACGGAGTCACGGATGGTGACTTACATCCACATTGCCTGTGGTGGAAGCAGCCCCAGTGACCTGACTCCGCACAGCCAAATCTATTTACACTGAGCTACTCCACGTGTCTCGGGGGATGTGGCTGGCACAGAAAATGGGGCCGCCAGCTCTCAGGCGGGGAGGGGCAGAAAGCCGCCTCCGTTTACTTCTGAATTTAAAACTCTAAGCCTCCTCTTCCTCCCGAGCCTCCTACGGGTGAAGGGCATAGGATTAGCCAAACAGATGACCAGAGCATCTGGATGAGCTCATTCATTCATTCATTCATTCATGTACTGGGCATGCGCCAGGAACCGGGTTAGTCTAGTGAGCAAAAGCAGTCAGGGTCCCAGCCCTTACGGGGCTTCCTGTTCAGTGGGGGAGAGGATGGCAAACAAATGATTACACAAATAAGAACTTGACGACAATTATAACAAGGCGCAAAGGAAGAAAGTGGATGGTACGGAGCAGTGCGCCTAAAACCTTAACGTGCACGGGATTCGCCGGGGGCGCTTGTAAATGTGCAGACCCGAGTCTGCAGGTCCAGGAAGCTCCCAGGAGACGCTGCTGCGGCAGGTCTGAAACCACGCTTTGAGTAGCAAGAGTTTAGACCACGGGCTAATAACTGCAAATTATTAGAAAGTATCACAACTCTGGGTTCAAAGATAAACCTCGCTTCCAGAAGTCACGAGCTCAAACGCATATTGGGGCCGAGAAGGTAACACAAATGAGCAAAGCATAAGGTCCACTTTTAATCTGAGGAAACTAAAGCTGGGGTCTGTGTGTGTGAGGACACACTTACACGTGATCATGTGAGTATGTGATTGTGTCAAATGACTTGCTCAAGGACACACGCTCTTGGTTCGTTCATTCACGCAGTCAACAAATGTTCACCGTGCACCTGCTGGGGGCCAGATCTACAACCCAAATCTCCTAATTTGTTAACTTCACGTTCTTTCCAAAGAAAGCATGTGGGCTTAAGGGGCCAGACCCAAATTCGAATCCTGACTCTGCTGTAACACAACTGTGTCATCTGAGCCCGTTGTTTCCTCTCTCTGAGCCTCAGTTTCCACACCCACAAAATGGGACGGTATGTCGTACGCACAGGGCCGCTGCACAAGGACTGCACAGGCAGGTACTTGCCAAGGGAAACCGCTCAACACACTGGAGCTATTATTCGCTTTCCGTTCTCCGGGGGCCCCTGCTTAAGCCACTGAAATCTGTGAGCCCAATTTGAATGTTCACACTTTTTTTTACCTCTCACTGGGAGGATTAAGAAGCTAATGATTCCGAAAGCAGCAACTGCTATTATGTTGC